ACTTGTTTTAGAACAAAAGCACCATGATCCCATAACTGACATCATTCGCATAACACCATTCTTCACTGCTGACTTTCGCGTTTGGAAAATTTAACATAAACATAGATTCACATGTACAGCATTTTCTACTCTAACATCATAAGCTGAAGAAAGGTTCATACGCATGAGTTGCAACTACTCTACCGTAACGTGCCAACGAGTGGAGCAGAACGATGGTTCTTCTTCACATTGAGGCTTGATAATTGCTCCTGTAAGTCGAACAGATAACTTGCATGGCGGCTGATTCTCCAGCTTGACCTTCCAGCCTTAAGCTGGGGATGAATCTCGTAGCAGCGCACTATGCCACTTCTTTCCGTACAGTTCACATATGCGTGCTTCCGTATCTTGAATTTAAAGTTCTCATTGGATACTGATCACTCTTTCCCGCGATACTCGCCATAACTCGGACGTACCCTCCATTGGTTGGAGAAGCTGGACTGCTTTCCACTTCCCTTTACCAAAGAAGGCAGAGATGTTATCACAGCCTGTGTTCGAGTTTACACCTATAAGGGCTCCTCATGAAGCAGTGGTTAACATCGCCTGGGTCAAGTTGCATAGAATGTTCGCGCCTCTTCCCTTTTTCATGTAGCACCTTTTCAAAGTCAAGTTTTTGCTATGAGCAAGCAGTAGGATAAAGACATCAGTCTCAGTGTCAGTGTATCAGAGTGCATCACACTGTCATTCCTACGCGCATGCCGAGCATACAAAACGATACGCGTATCAGCCTCTTCGACACGGAACTGTACCTCAGGAACTGGGTCTCTGGTCACCACGTGTCTGCCTCTAGTTGCCCGAATGGTGTTCAGTTGTCACACGGGGAGTCCATGATCCAGTTGCCGAGTTTGCTTCTAAATGCTTCAGTTTTGCCCTGTCGGGCACAAGGAATTTGACGATTTCAGTTTATTTGTGTTGGGACTTAGCAGCTCGTTCTATGACTTCACAGTATAGTGCATCGCAGTAAATCCCTGTATTGTACACTGTCAGCGGTAGACATTATTTTCAGTCTTTTGACATTTTTGATCAACACCTCGCGCTACACGTCAACCACTTCGTCTACGCACCTGCTGCGCGAAGTTAGTTACTCTAACCGACCACATGGAACATAGCTCCAGAGGAGATCTACAACTTCTGTAGCCTTCCGTTTCATCGAAACTGCCGTTTTTTTTCTCGGCTTGCCGGAACTGTCCCAGAAGTGCCATCCAAGCACAAGAGGAAGTACTAGATCCTTGTTGCGAACCTTGAGGCACAGCCTTCACCTTGGCTTTCTTCACTGGGTCAAAGTAAGCGTGTCATTGGATGAGCAACGGCTCGTTACAAAGTCATTTGCTGGCTGCTTTCTCTTGCCCGTGGAATGCAGTTAGTCATCACTTTCTTCTGTGTAGACAAGCTTAGCGAGTTGCAAATCTCTCTTCTTGGTGAACTTAGTTCGGCCATTACATTGATTTTGATGAGACGTGCGGGTAATTCACATTCAGCTGAAACCTCTAAAACTGATTCCGGTCATGGACGCGTGACTGGATAAGGTTGTCTACTAAGAAATTGTTTTCAAGAGGAGACTCTATTCAATACACTTGCAATGTAAACATATGATTTATTTACTTACTCTTTTCTGAAACAATTTTCTAAACCTTACATTTTTTCTAGTTATTAAACAAATAGCGAACTGCCGGTCTTATTGAGTGACCAATAACGGGCAATGTTGATTCAATGTTGATTCATAGGCATAGGACCTCAGGTAGTTATAATTTAAGCACTAGAATAAAAGGAAGTCATGTTTTTAGTTCAAATATGTTTTAAATCTACGCTAAAACTACATTTGTTTAAGTCAAAAGAATATAAGCAACTTTCCAGCCTTCCCCAAAATTCAAGATGGCGGCCAAAAGGAGATTATGAGGGGCAAGTTTAAATTTCGTTTTTCAAAGTGAAAGCTACCGTTTTATCCTTGCTATCATGCATTTTTGTGACGCTTAATAGTCAAAGATTAATATGTGACATGTTTCGGCTGTTCTCCTCGAGTGAGCCATAAACCCAAATTCCTATTTATATTCACGACTGAGAGACGGGAATGGGTGTGCAGCTCGAACTAAGGAGCCTGAGTGTTTAATGCCGTCCAAATATCATACAAAGTTCAACATTATAACTAAAGAATGGTATACAAATATCCCTAAATAAAGTCACTCAGGCTAAACTATTCACGTGCGCCGCCTGATACGAAAACCCAAAAACCCAATGGAAAAAAATTGGGAACGTATTCCCCAACCGATGCGGTCGCACAACCTCTGGGGGTTAAAGGTAAAAAATCAATAGATAGATGAATAAAGTAAGATATAAAAATAAAAGTTGATAGTTCGGGAGCTGTGATGAATACATTACAACTGTCAAAACCTTATATACCTAATAACAATAGAGTCAATTAACGCCATAACGGCTCACGTGCGTTCATACCAATAGGAAAGTATTTACATTCTCTGTCACTGCCACTACGTTTATTATAAAATGATGACATCAAAGACATTATACTCTCTACAATACCCTGGTGCATAATGGTGCATAACCTACTTCCGTCACATACAATGTACACTTTGTTGAAATCAAAGGCCTCTTCACTTGCAACAGATTGCGGATATATGAAAGTTGTTATTTCTGCATCGACTGAGAGAATTTGTGTGGGGGGGGGGGGGGGGGGGGGGGGGTGTGCACTAAAGGGAAGTCCTGGTTATGATTATCGGTATTGCAAATGTAATCTGCTTATCGCAAGCCTTCACAGTCTTTTTAAGGCTTCCAGCCCAAAAAGACACTGTTCAAGGCGCTTTTAAGCGAATTTACTATTAAAATAGAATTTTACCATTAAAATAATAAAATAAATAATTAGAATTTTACTATTTTGATGGTAAAATTCTACACCCTGTTTAATACTCAAGACCTTGTGTTCAGCCGCACATACCTGACCTGTATAAGTCAAATAAGGGAGTGCCCCTCCTTCCCCCCCCCTCCTCGAAACGTCCTCCAGAACTTGTTTTAGAACAAAAGCACCATGATCCCATAACTGACATCATTCGCATAACACCATTCTTCACTGCTGACTTTCGCGTTTGGAAAATTTAACATAAACATAGATTCACATGTACAGCATTTTCTACTCTAACATCATAAGCTGAAGAAAGGTTCATACGCATGAGTTGCAACTACTCTACCGTAACGTGCCAACGAGTGGAGCAGAACGATGGTTCTTCTTCACATTGAGGCTTGATAATTGCTCCTGTAAGTCGAACAGATAACTTGCATGGCGGCTGATTCTCCAGCTTGACCTTCCAGCCTTAAGCTGGGGATGAATCTCGTAGCAGCGCACTATGCCACTTCTTTCCGTACAGTTCACATATGCGTGCTTCCGTATCTTGAATTTAAAGTTCTCATTGGATACTGATCACTCTTTCCCGCGATACTCGCCATAACTCGGACGTACCCTCCATTGGTTGGAGAAGCTGGACTGCTTTCCACTTCCCTTTACCAAAGAAGGCAGAGATGTTATCACAGCCTGTGTTCGAGTTTACACCTATAAGGGCTCCTCATGAAGCAGTGGTTAACATCGCCTGGGTCAAGTTGCATAGAATGTTCGCGCCTCTTCCCTTTTTCATGTAGCACCTTTTCAAAGTCAAGTTTTTGCTATGAGCAAGCAGTAGGATAAAGACATCAGTCTCAGTGTCAGTGTATCAGAGTGCATCACACTGTCATTCCTACGCGCATGCCGAGCATACAAAACGATACGCGTATCAGCCTCTTCGACACGGAACTGTACCTCAGGAACTGGGTCTCTGGTCACCACGTGTCTGCCTCTAGTTGCCCGAATGGTGTTCAGTTGTCACACGGGGAGTCCATGATCCAGTTGCCGAGTTTGCTTCTAAATGCTTCAGTTTTGCCCTGTCGGGCACAAGGAATTTGACGATTTCAGTTTATTTGTGTTGGGACTTAGCAGCTCGTTCTATGACTTCACAGTATAGTGCATCGCAGTAAATCCCTGTATTGTACACTGTCAGCGGTAGACATTATTTTCAGTCTTTTGACATTTTTGATCAACACCTCGCGCTACACGTCAACCACTTCGTCTACGCACCTGCTGCGCGAAGTTAGTTACTCTAACCGACCACATGGAACATAGCTCCAGAGGAGATCTACAACTTCTGTAGCCTTCCGTTTCATCGAAACTGCCGTTTTTTTTCTCGGCTTGCCGGAACTGTCCCAGAAGTGCCATCCAAGCACAAGAGGAAGTACTAGATCCTTGTTGCGAACCTTGAGGCACAGCCTTCACCTTGGCTTTCTTCACTGGGTCAAAGTAAGCGTGTCATTGGATGAGCAACGGCTCGTTACAAAGTCATTTGCTGGCTGCTTTCTCTTGCCCGTGGAATGCAGTTAGTCATCACTTTCTTCTGTGTAGACAAGCTTAGCGAGTTGCAAATCTCTCTTCTTGGTGAACTTAGTTCGGCCATTACATTGATTTTGATGAGACGTGCGGGTAATTCACATTCAGCTGAAACCTCTAAAACTGATTCCGGTCATGGACGCGTGACTGGATAAGGTTGTCTACTAAGAAATTGTTTTCAAGAGGAGACTCTATTCAATACACTTGCAATGTAAACATATGATTTATTTACTTACTCTTTTCTGAAACAATTTTCTAAACCTTACATTTTTTCTAGTTATTAAACAAATAGCGAACTGCCGGTCTTATTGAGTGACCAATAACGGGCAATGTTGATTCAATGTTGATTCATAGGCATAGGACCTCAGGTAGTTATAATTTAAGCACTAGAATAAAAGGAAGTCATGTTTTTAGTTCAAATATGTTTTAAATCTACGCTAAAACTACATTTGTTTAAGTCAAAAGAATATAAGCAACTTTCCAGCCTTCCCCAAAATTCAAGATGGCGGCCAAAAGGAGATTATGAGGGGCAAGTTTAAATTTCGTTTTTCAAAGTGAAAGCTACCGTTTTATCCTTGCTATCATGCATTTTTGTGACGCTTAATAGTCAAAGATTAATATGTGACATGTTTCGGCTGTTCTCCTCGAGTGAGCCATAAACCCAAATTCCTATTTATATTCACGACTGAGAGACGGGAATGGGTGTGCAGCTCGAACTAAGGAGCCTGAGTGTTTAATGCCGTCCAAATATCATACAAAGTTCAACATTATAACTAAAGAATGGTATACAAATATCCCTAAATAAAGTCACTCAGGCTAAACTATTCACGTGCGCCGCCTGATACGAAAACCCAAAAACCCAATGGAAAAAAATTGGGAACGTATTCCCCAACCGATGCGGTCGCACAACCTCTGGGGGTTAAAGGTAAAAAATCAATAGATAGATGAATAAAGTAAGATATAAAAATAAAAGTTGATAGTTCGGGAGCTGTGATGAATACATTACAACTGTCAAAACCTTATATACCTAATAACAATAGAGTCAATTAACGCCATAACGGCTCACGTGCGTTCATACCAATAGGAAAGTATTTACATTCTCTGTCACTGCCACTACGTTTAGCTCCGCCGAATGTAATTACATTTCCTATTTATATTCACGACTAAGAGACGGGAATGGGTGTGCAGCTCGAACTAAGGTGCGGCTGAGAAAACAAAGAACGGGAAACAATTACAGTCCAAGGGACATAGAGACCGCTAATCGGCTCTCCAGCGAATCTGCAACGTAACCATCTTTAGCGTTTTCCGAACACCATCTACCGTGGCGCTTAAACATTCTATCAGAGATACCACCATTAGCGGCGGCAGATGCACCGCCACTTCTGAAGCTGTGCCAAGAGAAAGATTTAGGGTCTAAGCCTACGTCTGCAATCTTCTTCAATAAAACTTCTCCACATCTTGTATGAGACAGTTTGGAGCCTGGGCGGATGGACTGAGAGCCATACTTGGTTTGAATATTTCCGAACAAATAGTCGTCTCCACCTTGGGAAGATGTCGGTAACGTGAGTTTGACTTGCGATAAATACTTCTCTAAATTACCCCAGGGGCAAAGATCCGTGCCAGACTTGACAATGGGGACAATAGAGCCCTCGCGATATTGATCAGTTTTACTGCTTTCTATAAAAAGTTCAAAATGAGTGTCATGCAGAGCTAAATCCTTAAGCTTCAGATTAGCCAATTCATCAAATCTTAAGAACCCCGCAAAGGCCAATAACGCCATGGCCATGAATCTTGTGTCCACCAAAGATCCATCGAGACTGTGAAACAACTTTTGTAAAATTTCGGGTATAATGGGGAGCTTTTTGGAAGTAAGGTGTAATAGCCTTCTCTTAGCGGACTCCACGACCTTCTGGGGAAGTGTATGATCGGTAGGAGAGTCGAAACCAGCAATTTCATGAGCCCAGCGAATGCTATAGAAGGCGTTCTGGGCCGGCGCAGGAGAACTAGAACCCTGGAGAACACTGAGCAGGTATAAAGAAACATAAGCCGGAGTAGCAGGTAGCACTGCGACCTCGGGAAATCTGTTGGCCCAAGCACGCCATCGCTTAAAACCGTTGAGGTAGGTGAGAGTAGTGGAATCTGCCCTGGAACCAAGGACTATCTCCGGTAGCTTTTCTGCTAAGCAGCGTAGGGAGGGAGCTTTGACATCGTTAAGCTCAGCCCACATAGGGCTAGCGAAAACATCTGAAAATACAGAAGAAACAGAAGACCATATGGATTCAATCTAAGGACTTAAAAAAGGAAAGATGGACGAGAAAAAAAGGAGTGGTAAAAGGAAACGCGCGTAATATGTAGATACAACTATCACACAGGTACATAAGGAAACAAGAGAGTGACCACCGAGGCGCACTCGACCATATATATGGGGGACCTGGAAGGATTAAAAACTGACCGAGGTCACACAAAAATGTAACGGTACGACCCGTCGGGATCAGTGAAGGTACAAACAAGGTCACCGAGACCCGCATAAATGCCACCGAGGCAAAAGAAAAAACAGAACAAATCACTCAAAATAATAAACCACACTTTAATATATTCTAAACAAGGTAACTACACGTAACTGCGGAAAGGAAACTAAGCCTAGAAGAACAAATCTAACAAGCCGACAAACAAACGGCTAATACATGAGACTTAAATTTAGGGCCATCAAAAATAGACTCTGAAGAGCCCCGAACAAAAATATTAGAAACATTGGTAAATACAATGGTCTCTTTAACGCAAACGGAAAAGGAGGAATGGGGACCAAAGAGCATGGGCCAAAATGGAGTTGAGACCCACTTTGGGACAATAAGAGTGCCCATAGACCTACATACAAACAAATGCCTAATAACCCGGGGAACAAGCCAGTTATTCTCCCCCGCCCAGTCAAAACAAAAGGCATCCACCCCCTCCGAGTCAGGATTCCAGAAACGGGAAAAGAATCTGGGTAATTTGCGGTTATGGGAATGGGCAAAACGATCTACGGAATGTGGACCCCAAATGTTGTCTACATGGTGGAAAAATCCAAACGAAACACCCCAGTCATCAAAATCAACGATCCTACTTATGGCATCCGCGTGCTCATTGAGAGACCTAGGAATCCAGTCCACCTGCAAATCAATACCATTTCGCAAAACCAGTTGAAAAATAGAGAGGAAAATTTCGTGCAAATCCCGCTTCATACTCCCGTTGCGAATAATGGACGGAATGTTGCGGTTATCCGTGAACCATTGAACTGCGCGCCCTGACAAAACTACGGAAAAACTAGAGAGACAAATATAGACTGCCTTAAGCTCACGCCACGTGGAGCTGCGAAACATTTCATTAGCAGTCCACGGAAGATGACAAATAACACCCTGGTGGTCTTAACAACACCGCCAACCCCTAGGTCACTAGCATCTGAATAAACAATGGAACGAGAACATGAAAAGTGACGCCCAATGGGCCTCCCATTCAAACACCGAACGTTCTCTTTCCAGAAAAAAAGCTCTTCTTTAACAGAATCGGACAAAGGAAACCAAGAGTCCCAACTAGGCTGAAGGACGATGGACATATGAATAAACTTTGTCAGCAATGTAGTAAGATTTCCTACAGCTAGTTGAAAAGAATTAATACGACCAGCAAGAGCGGACAGTTCCCTGGCGGTGCAACAATTAGCCTCTAAAAGGGAATCAATATCAGAAACAACCCGCTTGAGCTTTATCCCCGGAACAAAAAGCAAACCCTGAAAAAGATCAACGGTGAAACCCAACCAATCAAGGACTGATGTAGGAACCCAAACAGATTTCTCGAGGTTGGGTACAAAGCCAGAACGAACCAAATCAGTCTTAACCCTGGTGGAATGGGCTAAAGCAACCTGATATGAAGGCCCCTCCCCTGGAGGTATGTATAGTGCGCATTATTTTGGAAAAATTAGCATAACGTCAAAACAGTGAATGTTGTAACGCAGATTTTTGACCGGTTCGTAGGATAAGTTTGTCCTGAAATTTCAAGGTGTTGCAGTGAATCAATCTTAATAAAAGTTTCAGACATTTTTGTATACATTATGAAGATTATGTGAAGAGATTTTAAAAAAATTTGTTCGAGTCGTTTTGGAGATATACAAGAAAGCGCTAAAAGTCCTAATTCTGAATGAAGTTACACTTATACAGATGGTGAGAAAACGGGTTAGATTTCAAGATCGCATGAACGAAAGTGCACCAAAATTTCCTAGCATCAAAATATGATATTAAGCATCATTCTTATGCTACTTAAGAATAATTTGAGTCATTTGTAACATTTTTATTAAATAACCTATCACGGCTATTGAAAGTTTAAGGTTTGAAATATTTTTTCGTTTTAGTCGAATTCAAACATACAGAATTTTTTACTTCTTACGGAGATTGTTTGCTAAACACCAAACTTTAAGTTCCTAGTGTTGGATTTTCAGTAGCAGGTCTAGATCACACAAAATTCGGCTTTTATCAATTTCAAAGTTTTTTGTTTATTGTTGTCATAGTAATATCGATTTTATTTAAAACTACATTTTCACATATTTCAGTCCATAAGCAATTACTGGTGAAAATTTTATAGCGATCGGACAAGGAAAAAACCACTTTTAAGGCGATTGAAAAATATCGGTATCGCCGCTGAAAAACTGTATCGAAACACCTTAAGATCCTCAAACTTGACCTTTTGCTTCCAGACATGCTTATTTACAAACCTAAGATCCAAGATCAACCTCTTTTTCCCAGATGACTGAATAGAAACGGAAAGAGGGTTGACGTTATGGGGCAGGACCTCCGATTCAAAAATGCCATTGGTAACCAACAATTCGGAAATAGCTTCGTTAACAAAATCAGAATGGGCCAAAGCTGACGTATTATTATTAGAAAAACTAACAGGGGGTGTAGAGTGGAAAGGAATACGATAACCATGCTCGATAACATCTAGAATAAATTGACTGGCACCTATAGAACGCCAAAACTGAATATGAGATTTTAGCCTACGGGCTACAACGATAGTAGAACTACGACATATTCAAAAAAGTCAAAATCATCTTCAACAAAGTTCCTTAACTTATCTGTGTCCTCGACGAGTGCACCAACATCCCAGTCCATCACGTACGTTTCCCAGGTTGGCTAGCTGAAAACTGCGCCTGAAGGACGGGGCACTGATTCCTGAAATGGCCGAAACTACCACAAGCAAAGCAACTGCCAACACGCGAACCACGGTGAGCCTTAGGCCAATTGACAGCACCGAACGGATTCGAAAAATTAGAACCTGGCAGAGAAACGGCAGGATAAGAAGGAGAGACTGGAGTGCCGTAACCAGAAACGACGTAGGGCAGCGAGGGAACCGGCGGAGTGGAGGGCTTTTGAGGACGGAGAGACGAACTTTTCTTCGCCAATTGAGCACGCCGGCGTTTCTGTGAAGCCCTTACTTCAGCCTGCCTTATGCGCTTGTCATCGTCGCTGTCATCAGCAAGATCCCGACGCTGGTACTCGTTTACGACTTCCCACCCCTTCTTCTCACCTTACTTTAACTCTTCCAAGGCCTTTTCAACTTGAGGCGAAGACGCCTGAAGGGCGGTCGAAGCAGAATGAACGTGTTCAAGAACTTCAGAATTAAGTAAGAACTGCTTTTCGTTGCCTTTCTTTTTAAATTTCGGAACACTAGCAGTAGCTGTCGTGAGCTTCTTCAGCGCAGCGTCGTGTTTTTGTGCAAGTTCTCTCTTTAAAGAAGATAAACCAGAACGAAACTCGTCTTTGAGCTCGGAAATGCTTCGCGCGAGATCAGCATCGGACGGCATTTTAAAAGTTGATAGTTCGAGAGCTGAGATGAATACATTACAACTGTCAAAACCTTATATACCTAATAACAATAGAGTCAATTAACGCCATAACGGCTCACGTGCGTTCATACCAATAGGAAAGTATTTACANAGTTCGAGAGCTGAGATGAATACATTACAACTGTCAAAACCTTATATACCTAATAACAATAGAGTCAATTAACGCCATAACGGCTCACGTGCGTTCATACCAATAGGAAAGTATTTACATTCTCTGTCACTGCCACTACGTTTAGCTCCGCCGAATGTAAATACATTTTTCGGCTCTCAGCTGATGGACTAAAAGAAAGAGAGAGAGGGTCCAGAGTTGTTTTTCAAAATTATTTATTTATTATTTATTTTTCCGGGGGGAGGATGAAGACGTCCAGCGAGTATTGTTTAAGAAAAGGCGTCGACAATTGTAAATGGAAAGGAATATTAAGCCTTTTCCTCTCTTCCGGTCCGAAACTGGGATATCATCAAACCACAATAATTGAATATCTTTCAGTTGCTTCCTTCCGAGTTTTTTTTTAATATATTTTTTTCAATTTTTTTTTCAGGACATTAAGGGTCCCCATGCAAAGCTCAGAGTTCCGATACCTAAAATCACGGAACCACTACCCCCTGGGAAGACGTGTGCTGCTGAGACATCTGGTGCTGACATGACTATCCCCTGCGCCACCTATTTTGTTGTCATCCTGAGTGCAGTGTTTCCTAAGCTCTACTTTGATTAAAGTGATATAATAAAACAAAAGCTCGGCACACTTCATATCTAACAATATCTACCTTCTGGCTGGCTCAACTTAGAGTACTTTAAAATTTTTAGAGGTGAAATCAGTGCAAGAATACGAATTATTTTAGAATATATCAACTTTAAGAAGTTTAGTGTTTCTTAAGCTCTACCTTGATTGAAGTCATTGACGTCTATGTATAAGCTTAGCATACTTCATGTCTAAAAATATTTCTGACTGAGTCAACTTGAAGTACTTAACACTTTTCAGAGGTGAAATCAGTGCAAAAGCACGAGCTTTTTTCAGTTTCTGCCATCTTTGAGAAGTCTATAGTGATTCCTATACTCTACTTTGATTGAAGTCTTAAAATAAAACAAAGGCTCAAGATCTGTATACTTTATAACAATATCTCTGACTGTGTTATTTTAGAGTACTTTAACACTTTTCACCTTTCTTTTCACTTTTTATATCAACTAAAAAAGAGCTTAAAAGTTCTTATGACCTTCAAGTACGATGGCAGCGAGAAATATGAACAAAACAAGGATCAATTTTTGTTTCTGGGCAACCGAGCACGGTTTCTTATAACTGTACCGGTTTTTTTAGATAGGGCGCGACATTAATAAAACGGACCCGGTATCTTTCATACCCCCAAAACTTTGTGTCCAACGACCCCGTTAACTAGTCAACAATCCCGTACCCGGTAAACAGACCACATTAACCTACCCCTTCATCTTTTCTAGAAACTGGACCCTGCTTCAATACCGAGCCCGTCATCAACTTTAAGTTCCGGACCCGCCTTATAACCGTCTCCCGATGTGACGATCCATCGGGCCCAGCTTCATTTCGTTAGTTAGTGGGACCCCGATAACTTTCGTGTTTTTAATGGTCGACCACTACAACCCGGCCCCGGGACCGGGTCCGGTTAGGATATGTATTCTTTTCTTTGGTTTTTAATTAAACCCCTCCCCTCCCCTCCCATCCACCCACCCACCCCCTTAAAAATTTCCTAATTATTATTTTTTTTAAAGCTCGACTCATCATATTCACTTTTTTAACCGATAGTCTTTATTTCAGGGTGCCACAATTTTTCTAACCTTCGAGAAAAAACTATAACAATTATCTCATGAAGCAAGCCTTTCACGTTGGAGACGACGGAAAACATCCTTTTTCATACACATATGCTCCGCTTTCGAACGTATTAATGTGGACGGAAGGCGAAAACGGATAAAAAACAAAAACACATTAGTGTGGACGGGGCTTGAATTTTGTGCAGAACCTTGATATTGAAATATTAATTTAACGCTCAAATTTCGCGCCAAAATCAATGAATAATTTGTCACTCATAATACCGTAAAATTCCGAGAATAAGCCCCTCCATGTATAAGCCCCTCCATATATAAGCCCCCCGAGGGGCTTGTACTTAGAAATCGCCCTCAAATACAAAGTAAGACAAAGAAAAACTGTAAATTTTCTTCCAAGAATAAGGCTAGCCCAATCAATTTTTAAACGCCAATTTCCCTCCGTACATAAGCCCCTCTGAATATAAGCCCCTCCAAAAATAAGCCCCTCAAAATTTCGGAATTTTACGGTATTTTAATAGGAATGCCATTTCACTAGCTATTGATTTGCATCTCATTGGTTTATCAGAGATACAAAACTGAGGTAACAAGACTGATCGTTTTGGGTAGTTTGAGCGCGGCTGGGATTTTTAGAGAGATGCCACGATTTCAAAGGAAAGTAACGGCGAATTTCGCTGCACGAATCGAAAGACGCAACATTTTTAAATCAAGCCAACAAGGCCGAGTTAAGTTTTTCAGTATGACGGTGGAATTCCAAAAAAATAACGCCCTTTCCAAGCTAGTATTTTACCAGTAAAGCACTCGAATAGCGTATATTTTATACGTTTTCATTGTTTTCATTGTTAAAATGTTTACGGAAAGCAAACTTTTCTTGCCGACCTACAAAAGATCCCCAGGGAAATATACTGAATATCAATTAAAGAGTATCGCCGCCGCTCTCAGAGTAAACTAAATATTCATTATTCATCGATTACGTTGCATACACTTCGAAGGCCTCCTTTGAGTTTAAGAGTTTGTAGAAATTTGAAGTATTTTCTAACAAGAGATGAATTTGAATGAACTCATCGATTTAGAAAGAGGTCCACGAACAGAATTGATCCCATGGTTTCAATGGCGTTATATGCTTGCAGACCCTCTCAATTGTTCCCAGTGTAATCGAGCCATGGAACTAACAGAGAGGAGGTAAATGATGCAACACACGAACTTCTATCTAAAAGGACCCAAAGCTGGATAACCCGTATGTGTATCCGTAAGTTTTTATTATTTCGACTTAATTTCGACCAATCACTGTACACACGGAGTATACATAATGAAGATTTCTTTTAAACAGTTAGAAGGAGCTGTTGTGACTCCGTCTAGCAAATCATCATCCACAAAAATTCATGCTCTATCATCTTATGCATTTAAGTGCGCGCTTCAATTTACTGCCTTATATTTATTATTATTATTATTATTACTATTATTATTATTATTATTATTATTATTATTATTTTGAATCATGAATGGCTCACATTGTTTAGATCTGTCTCCTAAACACTCTCTCGGGCGAATTTCCTGCCACTTCGCTTAAGCAGTCGCCGCCTTTACTACAGTTAATTCAGCTCCAGTTCATTAGTTTTGATCAGAAAAAAGTCTCACCTTATCTGTAAACTTTCTTAGCTAATGGTCACAGATAGAATCTTAAACACTCCATTAGCTTAATATGTTAAGGAAGAAACCTCGCCCGACTGAAAAAAGGCAAGTTCTGCGTACTTGCATTGAAAGTACCTAATTAATCTTTAAAGAGCTAGTTATCAGCGAACAATAAATACACCGAAATAAAAGGCGAACAACACTGAAAAAAATTACACCTTTTAAGAAGCCAGTAAAATATAGCAAAACGGTTTTTTTATTGCCTACTCGTCAAGAAACATACTCATACATACACACTGCGTTTTGAGATTAACTTCCTAATGTAACATCCACGTGCAGCTTTTTGTAGAGAGTTGAATTAAGAGAATTAGTCTATAAAAAGCCCAATTTAAGCGGGCGATGAATACACTGAAATTAAGAGGCTGTCCGCGTAAGAACCGATAAGGCAAATTTCGGTGTATCACAGATTGCCCTGATTTTTTCAGTATCCTATCCCATGAAGAAATATCACATTTATTTGGACCAACTCAATTTTTTCTCTATTTTACAGGAAGATTTTCTCGGTCACCTAAAACTGGCCCGTTTGCCGTCAGAAGTGGTGCGATTTTGCTGAAACTTTAGGGCTCTGTCAAACCTACCTTACAAAGCCGAATAAGCTGATTATTTTACAAAAAAAAGTTTTAACTCTGATTAACAGTGTCAAAGTTTAATGGTTGCATTTTGTAGAAAGTTGGCTGAGATATATTTTTTTAAAAATGACCTTTAATTTGCTCAGCAGGAAAAGTAATTTGCATAACTAGAGCTGAACGGTAATTTCGCAAAAGTGGCACCTGACCCAGACTCAAGTCTATGATAAATCAGAAGTACTAAGACCAGTCTACTTCTTAATGTAATAAAATTAGTGGGCACTCTTCTCTGCGCGCTGTACAAAGTTCCGTTAATGTTCCAAAACTCGCCATTTTGACAGCAAAGCTGAAATTGTAACGGTCCGCATTTGATCGACTAATTTCCACAGTTTTAACGTTTCTAGTTATCACCAAATATCATTAGACCCTTTAGATGTTGGAATTTTGAAAACATGAGGAGAAAACTTGGTAATCGCTTTTGCTTGTTTTTTTTTTCCTTGTCGACGATCAGAACGCGACTTCATTCTCCGTATGCAAATTATAGCCTTTGATGCGTCGTTTCAACAAATTGACAGGAAACATAACTG